CCTCTCCTCGGTCATCCTTTGCATGTGTCCATAAAACCTAAGTCTTCTTACCCTCAGTTCCGTTTCCAAATCAGAGATTTCACTGTAAATCTCCTTATTGGACTTCAGTCTGTATCCTTCTGTTGTTATTTTGGGCCTATGGATAGAATCCTTCTTTCTATTTTCAGCAGTTTCTCCAAATTAATTATATACATAAAAATAAATTATTAATTGCGCTGGTATGATGTAAGAAGTGAGTTTTTAATCATAGTATTTTTTAAAAATTCTTATCAGAGGAACTATAATTTATAGTATATATAACTCTTATGAACTGTAGCAGCTGAACAGTGGCATAGGATCCGCAAATTATTTTATCTTCCGTATTTCAAGGAACGGACTTAAATTAAGCTACAACTTTATGAGAAGTGCAGATGGTGTGATGAAAAAAAGGGGGGGGGGACTTTATGAAGGGAGCGGTTGGTAACTGCACTAAATAAAACAGAGCTCAGCAGCCCTATCCTTTATTACTGGGCACTGGCTGTCCCTTACTAACTTAGTGTAGCCTGGTGTGCTATTCTCGCGAACATTAACAAAAAAATGCTATATTTGTTATTATTATTATGTATAATATGCTAAAATCAAAACAGTAAGATCTAATATGTACGAACTCCAAAATTTAAATCAGGACAACAAACCTATCTTTGCTCCTAAAGCTCCTCGTTATATAAATGAATGAATGAAAATACTTTTATTACTCTGGGATTAGTGTCCCTTTAGAACAAGTTACAAATACAGAATATATATTAATATTCTTGTGTGTCCACAAAATACAATTAAATATTTACAGGATGACTAGGAATACAATAAAATTATGGATGATAAAAGATACAAAAACGTGTGTAAACATAAAATAAACAGAGAAGGTAAATTAAGTAAACAAAATATCAATGAATCACAAAATAATCAAAGTATCTGGGTGATCAAGCGGATTGGGAATGGAGTAGGTGTTTGAAGAGGATAGATGTGATAGAGGATATCGATTTTGCATGTCGAATATCTGAGGGTATAGAGTTCTAGAGGGAGACCACTTGAATTAAAAAGGATTTATCAAACGCAGCAGTTCGGTGAGGAGGAGGATAGAGGTCGGACGTACGTGATCTGGTGGGACAGGATTGGAAGGAGCGTTTGAATTGTAGGATCTGTAGAATATAGGCGGGTCGCTGTGTTCTAATGACCTGTTATACGAAGGTAGCATGGAAATATTGACGATAAAGCGATAGGACGGATAAAGCCACTTCAACTCGGTGTAAAACTATATTACCCAGTTTTACACCGTATCCCTTGAGATCCCGAAGATAAAGCGGATTGAGCAATTCATTAGACGCTTAAGTTTAGCTTCGAGACGTTTAAGTTTAGCATATATGGCGCACCTCTGTTCGATCATGTTAGCAAAGCAACAGAGAAAAGGTTAGAATATTTCCAAAATGGAATAATCAGGGAAATAGTTAGAGGAACCACGATTCTCGATATTTTTACTCCTTGTCCATTCGTTCAACACGAGATCCCAGCCCAGAAACCTGTCCATTCCTTCTCATATAAGTTCCTCTTTTAAAAAATCCTCAGTCAGGCGTGCCACCTTGTTTTAGAATTTCTTACCTAACTCCATCCAAAACTCTTCATCCTTGACCTTATTCAAAAACCCTTTATTTTTCCATCTCCTCAGCAATAAATCTTCCTAATATATATAAAAATAATATTTTCATTTCGTATAGCTGTCAGCCGCATTTTACTGTTACCTTACAGGTATATCATCCATATTGCTTATATATAATATGTGAACTGGCACATATGTATTTATCTATAATTACATATGTCTAGTTGGGTAAGCGCACCATATGATGGACATAGCTAGCTAAGGAAATGTTTTTTTTTTTTTGTTTTTTGCCACCGTAATTATTATGAACTTCTCCGTTGGACATTTAGAATTACTAGCGTCTCCTTTTTCTATTCAATACTATAAAATTGAAAAAAAAATCAGTTATGCAGGTATAATGTCCATTTAAAAAAAAAAAACATCTGTTTGCACTAGTGATGGAGACCTCGAAATTCAATTGTTCTAGTAATGGACAGGAGGTCTGTACCAATAATAGACATACCTCAGAAAAATTCTAAAATTTTTATTTAACTACAAAGATAAGATGAATGTTCAACTTAGTCTTAGCAAAACTGTTAGTAGGAAGGTATGAAATACACTGATCACAAGAGCACTATAGAAACAACAATGAAAGGTATCTTAAAATTTTCTTTTGGAACATTTTTACATATAGTTGTCAATAGAAGTAGTGTTGTCCAAAATCGGTCTTGGTCTTGCACTTTGAAAGACCATGATCAACACCGCCTATCTTTTGCAAGACCAAGACTGATAAAAAAAAATCGATTTTCTGAATAAAAATTGAGGTAAGATAGTTAATAATACTTCATAATTTTAGTTACTATGTGTAAAAAATCCAGTGTAACCAATATAGTTTTGCATTTACCTCTTCTAATTTTTCAATAAGATTTAGTTAGGTTTCTCCTATCTGAAAAAATACAGTGATATTTCTCTAGTAATAGGCTAATAGGTAACTGCAAGACTATTCCGAGACTTTTGCGCAAGACCAAGGCCTAGACCAAGACTGAATTTGCAAGACCAAGACTCGTCTCGGTCTTGCATTTGGGCAGCAATACTAAATAGAAGTCATGGCTCATCAATATAGAAAAAGCTGGACCCTTTAAATCAACAAGGAAGCTTATTATTTAAATTTAAAGTCCAACCTGACCATCACTGGGTTCTCTGTCCATAATTGCGTTCAACCTAGTGCCGTTTTAATTTTATATTTGGATAACTTTGTAATTTGATTTGTTCTTAAATATTTTCTAATGACATACAATGTTCACTTATTTTTTCATTGTAGTTATTAGCGGTTTTAATATCCCAGAATAAATTTTCTCTCTATATTTCCAAAAAAAAATGTTATGAGCTTTCGACATACTGCGTATCATCTTCTCTAGAAAAAGTATCTATAGAGAGAAGAAGAAGAAGAAGAAAAAGTCTTTTTATTTATCAAAATTACATAATATAAATTACAATACAATATAAAATAATATTTTTGGATTTAAAACCGAAAATCAGACGTGTTACATGGTCTGTAGACCGTCAGAGTGTGTTTCATAACAAAATTATATTTCAATCTATTTATATACAACTAATTAATAGGAAAATAAGAACAATTATATTCACAATGTAAAAGTTATATAAATATTTTAATTACGAATAGAGTGATACCAAAATTCTCCAATTTATTAATTGTTAAATTTTCTGGTGAGCATTATCCTATAGGAGAAAGCAGACTTGCAGTAATTTACCAATGCTATCCAATTTTTTCCATTTAATAAATCTATTACTTGATCCCGAGATAAATTTCTAGACTTTAACCATTTAATTCTAAATTCAGAGAGTATCGGACAAGCAGCCAGGAAGTGATAGAGATCTTCTATTTCTTTGTATTACACATGCTACAATTATTATTTGTTTACTTGAAGTGTTTATAATTTAAGTTCGAAATATCAACTTTTAATTAATTTTAATTACCCATATGTTGCTCAAGCGTTTGACAGAGTTTGGCACTAGGGTCTTCTCTTTAAACTCAAGACTCCCACCTACATATTATCTAATTCTACAATCCTTCCTTTCCGATAGATTTTTCTCTGTCCGACACGGGTCAGAACTATCTTCCATCAGGTCTATCTCAGCAGGAGTACCTCAAGGTTCAGTACTCGCTCCACTACTCTATATCACATACACCCATGACATACCTTGCAGTCCCAACATTTTAACAGCGAGATATGCAGACGACACAGCAATTTTAGCAAGACACAAAAATCCAACATACGCCTCACAGACCCTACAACAGTATTTAACAAGATTACATGACTGGTTCAAAATTTGGAAAGTCTGGACTAAATCAAGACAAATCACAGCACATCACATTTACGCTTCGACATGAAACATGCCCTCCAGTTTTCCTTGACAATACACAGATTCCACAGACACACATCGTTCACTACCTTGGTCTGACATTTGACAGAAAAATAACGTGGGGCCATATAATACATATAATCAAAAAACGAAAAACTTTAAATCAAAGATTAAGAATTCTGAGTTCACTTCTTTCAAAAAATTCAAAACTAAAACTTAGACAGAAATTGAACACATACAATTACTTACTAAAACCTATTTGGACTTACGCATCACAGATATTTGGAACTGCTAAAAAGACTCAGTTAAACAAACTTCAAATCTTCCAAGCAAAAACATTCAGAACAATTACAAAAGCACCTTGGTACGTTAGCAACATAACCTTACATACTGACCTCCATATGCCGACTGTTAACGAACACATACGTACTCATTACAAACGATTCCATGACAACTTACAAGGACATCCTAATACACTTATAAATGACATGGCCACTACGAATATACCAGGTAACGTCTGTAGGAGACTAAAGAGGAGCTGGATGAGGGACCTCCTCGCCTAATGTAGATATCACGCCGAGTGAGGTGCTGCTGGGCACTGATCCTCCTCATGCCTTTCACGACAATTCTATTAATCAATCGATCTCACATTCACTGGTTGTCATTAGCATTATGACAAGTGTGAATAAAACATTAAAGCTAAATAAAATTAAAAAAAATAAAAAAATTACCCATATGATCAACTTCAATGAGTGTGTCATCAATATAATTTACTGAAGTTAAATGAGGATAAAAAGTGAAAGTTTTAGAATTATATATTGATTATATATATCTTTCTGAATTTGAGTTCTTAGTAAGTATAAATTAGCTCTCCATAGTTTAACATCATCGCAGTTAGATCGATTTAAGTTGAAATTTAATCCATACAGTTCTATAAGTATCTATATCAATACATTGGATACGAAGGGAGCCTAAATAAAGTATTACTTATTCCGAGGAGTGGATGGAACAGTTTTACCGTGGCGATGAAAGGCACGATAGCATCTTTGAGAAAATTGGAGAGGGGGGGAGGGGGGCTGCTCGGAGAAGGACCAATCATATCAAGTATCTTCCTAACTATTGTCGGCGGGAGAGAGGAATACACAAGCAGCTGGCCAAATATGGAAATCGTCATCCCCACCTCCCCTCCTCTATGGAATATACATCAGTCTTCTCTTCCTATCTCATAGTCCGAGAAATATATAAATAGATATATTATTTAAACTATTCATTCATTTTACCTGTTCAAACATTGTTGGGGCCGGGGGTATTTCAAAATTAAAACACAAACCCTTCCCCGGTGAGTTTCCTCAAAGTTGTGGAAAATTCGAGTAAAATTAAAAATATTAGGAAAGAGGGAAAAAAAAGAAGAGTAAAAATGAGACCTTTAAAACATTAAAGAAAAAAACAAATGCATGCACAAGAAAATAATATTAAATAGAAATATTCAAGAAATCAAAAAATGGAAAATGAGAAATTCCCTTCTAAATGCTTACAATATTTATTGAGAAAAACAATTATTCAAATGCACTGAAATAAAATAAAACATAAATACCATATTTAGTAAAAAAAAAAAAAAATTCCATCAAAAACAAAACATAAATAAAATAAACTTCTATAATAAAGATTAAATTAAAAGAGAAAAAAAAAATAACTTCAAGAGAACAAAATCAAATTTCGAGAATAAAATTAATTAAAATGAAAAAGTTAACTTGAGAGTTCATTACAGTTTAAATAATAATTTAGAGAGAAAACCCAAACTAATATTTAAATCTCCCATGGTAGTGCTCTCGACCAATCTCCGCTGGCTTTAGTACCAGTGACGCGGTTGGAAGAGTAGCGCAGGGTTCTCCTGGAGTTCCCTCGCCTGATTGTATATAGGTATGCATGTTATTTTTTTTTTTTTTTTTTTCCTTAGTTTTAATTTTCTTATTTTTTAGGTTATTTTATTTTATTGTCTATTGTATATACTTTTGATTATTATTTTGTTCTATTTATTTTATTTTTTTGTACATATGGTGTGAATGTCATCCTACCTCACTATAACCAATGTCGAACAGACAGATTGTTATAATACTCAATAAAGAAATTTAAAAAAAAAAAAAATCTCCCATGGTGATGGTGAGAATAAAAAACGTTCCAAGTTGGAGGATCTTCTTCCAAAGAGGTTACCTTGTACGATGTCAAGTCGATGGTGGGGAGTATCGAATCGATAGGCCTATCGATCTCGATCGACGACTAGAGATGACATAGCTGGGCTTTTCAAAATGGCGCTGGTGAGGTGACGATGAGACGAGACGGTCTGGAGCTTGGTGAAAATGGTGGGGGTAGACGCCCACTACAAACGAAAGACAGCTCCAGACTCAGGACCCAGCAGTATTTTGATGTCTTAATCCCTAAGACAGGGTATTACTGCCGGGCTGGTGTGTATATACAACGCGATAACACATCGCAAACGAAGCCAAATATACAAATAATATAAACTTAAATATATTTCTAAGACAATTGTCCCTCAGTATTCACCAAAAAAAAATAAACATTTTATTGTTAACACTAAAAAAGGGATAAATGGTGAGAAGAATAATAATGAAAAAATTAATGATATATGTCTATGCGGCGTTAACAAACATATTACCAACATATTGGTATAGAAACTTAAGTTAAGTATCTACGGTCTACGATAACTAGAAAAAACGAAATTGAAGATGAGATTAAGGTTATGCTGAAGGCGAAAAATGCTTATTATTCTTTGAAAAAACTACTTAGCTTGCGCATCCTGTCCCGGATTTAAAACAATAAAATCCATAAAACCATTATCTTACCTAAAGTTCTTTATGGATGCGAAACTTGGTCGCTTACATTAAGGGATAAGCAACGTCTTAAAGTTTTTGAAAATAAAGTATTGCGTGGAATATTCGGACCGAATAAGATTGAGTTAACCGAAGAGTTCAGAAGATTGCACAACGCAGAATTGCGTGAACTTTATCCGGTTAATATAATTGAGGGGATTTCATCGCGGCGAATCAAATGATGTAAAGTTGTTGGACTTAGTAACGAAAGAATTCGTAAAAGCTTTGCTGTACCGAATGGTAAACGTCCGAGGGGCAGAACGAAGCGAAGGTGGGAAGATTGCGTTAAAGCCGATTTGAAGGGACTGGGGACCGATTCGCTAAGCCATTTATTATTATTATTATTATTCATTTATTTTAAAAATTAAAAATATTAATGATTGGGTATATCAGTGCAATAACTTATGTATACGCTAGCATATAACAGTGAGAACTCTCACATTACGCAGTTATCTTTCTCCATTATGCATTTGACGTAAAATCTAAATCAGCGAAACATTTGTATTCCAATATAGAATATAATATCATCAAGATTGTCTATTCAATGCACTTCATACTTTATTACGACTTTTTAAATATTTACTTAATAAGTAAATTTTTTGAAGTTATGACTTCTTTAAGCGCGTTCTGCACTTTTTTATGGAGAGTGAATTAGATTGATCCGTCAGAGTTCCGAAATGTAACGCTCGAGCAAAGTTGACTGCAGACGATTAATTGAAGTGTGTTTGCATATGGATTAAAATATCTGAAATTAAAAATCCGACTTGGATACTATAAGCGAGTGAATTGTATCTTAACGCGACGACGCACACTGGGACGAGTAAGGGAAAACTCGAGACATCGTGTAAATATATATATATATATTTTTTCCAATTATACTATTCAATATTGATTGTGAACAATATATATTGTAATTGAAAATATTCTTGGAAACTCCGCAAGTAATACAACGAATCAATAAAACAGTTTATATAGCTTTTGGAGTTTAAAAAAAAAACAAAAAAAAAACGAAAGATTTATACAGATTCAAATAAATTTCGCGAGTTTTCCATTACATGGCCCACTGTGCCCCGTATGTATATGTATTATAATATCTCAGAAACTAAAAATCGGACCTACATACTGTAAGCGAGAGAAATGTTCAGCGTTTCTTTGTAATGTGCTATTATTTATAAATTATATTTCATATGGATGGAAAGATGGATTGGGATGCTTATAGAGTATTTCTGGTCTCAGAATTTTCAATCCCTGGGTCAATTGAAACCGAAGACGAATTTGATGAAGCAGTAGACAAATTTACCAAAAGTGTCCAAAAAGCTGCTTGGACTCATTCTTCAGTCTTTTCTTTTCGACAGATTTTTCTCGGTCCGACAGGGCTTAGAAATTTCCTCAATTCGAACAATGTCGGCAGAAGTACCTCAGGGGTCAATACTGGCTCCTTTACTCTACATTATATATACGTATGACATGGCTACCACCTTCGAAACATTGACTGCTACTTACGCTGACGATACAACAATTTTAACAAAAAAATCACGAATTCAGACTAGCCTCACTGAATTTACAAAATCATTTACTGACTTTGCAAAATTGGTACTCACTTTGGAAAATAAGATTAAATCATGAAAAGTCACAAAATATAACATTTACAATTCGAGGGGAAACGTGCCTACCAGTTTATATAGGAATTTACCAGTTTATCAAAATTTCTCAGACAAAGACAATACGTTATCTGGGACTAATATTCGACAGAAGGATGACCTGGGGTCCACACGTCAAAATGGAACGACAGACCTTAAACAAGTGTCTGAAAATACTGTACTCACTTTTTTCTAAATCAAAATTGAAAATCAGACTAAAACTCAATACATAAACTTACATACTCAAACCCATATGGGCATACGCCTCACAAATTTACGCTTGTGCAAAAAAGACACACTTACAAAAACTACAGACATTTTAATCCAAAATTTTACGATTGTTGTCGGCTGAGTACTTAATAAAAGCTGATTAATGTGTAAATACATCATGATCATTTCTTAATGTACCTTTTGGTAAGAATTTAATAGTATATATAAAATAAAATAATAGTAATAAACAAACTATATATATTCAACAGCCGTATTCATAATTACGGTTGATAAGTTCATGTTTTGTGGTGCAACGAAGAACCCTCTTAACTATTTCAGAAGGGTTCAATGTTTCAATAACCAAATTAATATGAGGATATTATCGAAGGATACACTCACCATTAAATATTATCGGCGGATACTCGTCAACTATTTACCAAGTGAGTGAGGGAGGAAAGTGGGAGAGGTTGTTAGGGGAAGGGAATCGGCCTGTATTGATAGAGCTTTATTAAATTCCTCCTACGAATGAACAACTCTTGAACAAAGTTGGCAGATACCGCAGTCTCATCGGGAGCAGTAATTATGGTTCCGCAAATAGAAAAAAAAAGTTTTTGAATAAAAAAAATTGCAGTTTGTTAGGAACTAACGCATTGAAGCAGAAGCCTTCTCAATATTTAACCAATATCCTCTTCATTAAAAAGTTTCTTTTACCTTTATATTTCCTAATTTTGTTCCACAAGACTAGATCTTAGATACTCAAATCATGTCTTCTGTGAATTTGCATTCATTAATTCCAAAATAAAGTAGCGCCTCTGCTCAGCCTCCACTGGTCCTTATTAACAGTGTTGGGGATGAGCGAGAGGCGCTGGGATCTCGTAGAGTCCTGCTCTTCCTTTCACAAGTATGACTTGAAGTTCTCCTGAGTGAATGAATTGTGTAAGCATACCTGCACTCAAGTTGTTATTTAGATTAGTTTATATACATTTTACTTTTTTTTCTTCATATTTTCATCCTTTAGTCACAGAATAAAATTATTTGTTCACTTCATTTCATTTCATGTCCATTTTTGTATTTGTTAAAGAGAGCCAATATTTTGACTTTGAGCAGTTATATTTTTTTTTCGTTAATAAATTACTTACTTATTTACTCCTAGATGCTATCGTCTGCGTGGAACCTTGATCTTCTCAACAATACGTCTTCACTCGTCTCGGTCCAATGTGACAGCCTTCCACTGCTTTACACCAAGCTGTCTCAAATCCACCTCAACATCCTCCAGCCAACGAAGTAGTGGCCTTCCTCGCCTTCTTACTCATACTGGTCGTCCATCTAATATTTACCTCGGTACTCGGTCAGCTGCCATCCTTTCCGCATGTCCTAACCATCTTATTCGTTCTGCCTTGATGACACTAACGAGATCTGCGCCCCTGTAGAGTTGTCGCATTTCCCGATTATATCGAGACCTCCAAACACCTTCTTCGCATTCAGACCCGTAAATCCTCCTAAGAATCTTACGCTGCCACACTCCAAGAGCCCTCTCATGCTTTTCTGAGATAACCCACGTCTCGCTTCCGTATGTGACTAACGGACGAATCATTGTTTTATAGATTGTCAATCTGGCATTCCTTGATATTCTTCGAAACCTAAGTAGTCGCTGTATGGCATAAAAAACATCGGCTTCCCGCAGCAATCCTAGCTGCTATTTCAGCTCCTCCGTCATAAGGAATCCTAGGTACTTGAACTTTCTGCATACTGGGAACTCGTGTTGGCCTATGTTCAGTATCCGATCTTGGTGAGGACGATGTCTTAAACTCTTCATGTACATCGTCTTTTGCTCGTTTATTTGTAGAGCTGCTGCAGCGGTCTCAAATTCCTTCAATTCACGTGCCATCGCTGGGCGCGTCCATGCCACAATCTCTCCTCCCTCCCGTATTACCTCCCCGGTTGGTTCTTATGGCCCTTGCCGCCTTCTGCAAGGTCATGTTAAAAAGGGGAATAGCTTTGGTATCTCCTTGCATTATGCCCGAAACGACAGAGAACTTCTTAGACAGCAATCCTTGTAGTTTTACTCTGCATCTGGTATCTGCCATAGTCATTTTTACTAAGCGAGTGAGCTTCTTAGACACACCCAGAGAGGGAAGATCCATCATCAAAACCTGCCTATTCACTGAGTTGCATATCTGCTGAAAATCAATGTAGAAGTGATGCAGGTCGACGTCGTATTCCAGTGACTTCTCCAGCACCTGTCGGGCGGTAAAGATCTGATCAATAGCAGCTACCCTTCCTGAAGCCACACTGATAATCGCCTACTTCTTTCTCCATGTATAATATCAGTCGTCTTCTACCAATGGCAGAGGATAGTGTTTTATAAGCTATTAAATTATTTAATTAAAAATGGACAATTTGTTTCTTAGCACCTGGGTACAGATATTTGTTTATGTGAAAACTGAAGGATTTTTTTTATTTATCCAGGTACTCCTGGTCAGTGGTGCAGTCAACTCCTGGAGCAGCGCGAAGAGGAGGCCAGGATGGAGGTTGCTAGGTTGTCAGCAGAGATCAGGGCTCTGAAGCTCAAGCTTCTCCAGATCACTGCAGAGCACAGTAAGTAATAATTATATTTATAGTATAATAATTGCACCAAACCATTAATTAATTGCTTAGTATCATCGTATAGCACGGGTAAGAAACTGAGGTCTCTAAAAGTTGTTGCACAATATTTATTAATCTAGTACTAGAATTAATTAATACTTAATTATTTAGGCATCAAAAATTTAAAAATATTATTTATTTATTGAATAATATAACATTCTGCCACTTAGACAGCTATTACAGGCAAGTAAAATCAAATTCATTCTATATGTACAAATAAAAAAAAATATATAAAATAATACAAGTAAATAATGATCGAAAAGTAAATACTATAAAAAAAAAAATTAAAGACAAGAAAATTTAAAAAAAAAAACGCATACATACCTATGGCGAGGGAAATCCAAGACAGGCTTGTCCGTCCAGCTATGGAGAGAAAAGCAGGAATCAACGAGATCCTCTGCGCTACTCTCTCAGTGTGCGTTACCTTGGCGTCAGTTTGTCATGAGTGGGCGATATACTGTGCTCAGGAACCCGGGGTTCCTGGCCCATGCAATTGCACTCATGCAGCTGCCCCTCGTGGGATATTATTCATATTATTGTTCTCATCCATGGTAGTATAATTCATCATATTAATAAAGTTCTTACCTTTGGTAGTGTAAATAATCTGATTCTTATTGTTCTTGCGTATAATAGTATGATTATTCTTATTGTTAATCAACGTAAGGATGGCAGTTTTTATCGTTTTATTGTTATTTTTCCTACCTATGCAAGTATTATCATCTTTATTATTGTGGGCTGATGTTTGACTGTAGTGAAAAATTAAAGAGACGGATGGTTGGGGTGACAGGTCAAAATAAAAAATAGCAAAAATAAATAATAACATACATTTAAAAATTTGCCGACGTTTCGGCCTGAAGTTCTGACCTTCATCACGACTGATTAAACGAAAAGCGTGGAAAGATGATTGTTCTTAGTTACGGTGGTATGGTTAGTTTTATTTGTATTGTTCTTACGTATGGTAGTATGGTTACTCTAATTGTTAATTTACCTATGCTAGTTTGATTATTCGTATTATATTTGTCCTTACGTCTAGGGTAGTATGGTTATTTAGTGGTATGGTAGCACTAGCGGATCCGGAATTTATTTTTTTGGGGGGGGGAGCTTCAGCCCGAAAATTGTTTTTTCATAAAAATAACGATAATTACTTTGGAAAAAAAGAAAGAAACTAACTACCTATATGAAATGGTGTTAAAGGGATCCCTAAAGCCTTTTTAAATGTAATCACACGAACAATAATACTTTAAGAGATACTTTTTTAATATTTTTTTCGAAAAAACATGGTTATATTTTGCCATTTTGGGGGGGGGCTTCAGCCCGAAATTTCTATTGCTCTTACATATTGTAGTATGATTACTCATTTTAATATTGTCCTTACCTATGTTAGTTTAATTATTCTGATTGTTATTGTTCTTACTTATGATAGTTTGATTATTCTAATTGTTAATTTTCTTAATTATGGTAGTATGATTATTCGCATTATATTTGTCCTTACGTCTAGGGTAGTATTTATTTATGGTAGGATTGTTATTTTTATTCTCATTGTCCTAACCTATGGTAGAATCATTATTCTTATTATTATTGCTCTTACTTATGGTAGTATGATTACTCATTGCATTATTGTTCTAGCCTATGGTAGTATCATTATTCTTATTATTATTGCTCTTACTTATGGTAGTATGATTACTCATTTTAATATTGTTCTTACCTATGTTAGTTTAATTATTCTGATTGTTATTGTTTTTACTTATAATAGTATGATTATTCTAATTGTTAATTTTCTTACCTACGGTAGTACGATTATTCGTAATATATTTGACTTACGTCTAGGATAGTATTTATTATGGTAGTACGGTTATTTTTATTCTTATTGTTCTAAACTATGGAGTATCATTATTCCTATTATTATTGCACTTACTTGTAGTAGTATGATTCCTCATTTAATATTGTTCTTACCTATATTAGTTTAATTATTTTGGTTGTTACTGTTCTTACTTATGATAGTTTGATTATGTTAACTGTTAATTTTCTTACTTATGGTAGTATGATTACTCATTGCATTTTTGTTCTAACCTATGGTAGTAGCATTATTCTTATTATTATTCCTCTCACTTATAGTTGTATAATTGTATAATCAGTGTGGTCTAGACCTCAGTTCAGAGCGTATGATAAAAGTTCAGTCAGTTTATAGTTAGTGATTTTCGCAGTTTTTAGAAGGAGTTCGGTCATAATTTTTGGTTAGAACCAACTATTAATCGTGTTATATCCACAGACAGGAAAGATTCTTCAATACAACGCCGTTTCACGTCAGAAGAAGAAAGGAAAAATCATAATTTTAGTCGGCTTAAGGTATTTATTGCAGGCATTCTAGATAAGAATATAGGTGGGGAGCGCATGCGCATAAATAGGACTAGGTACTAGATATCTCAGTGTTTCCAGTGACGAGGTTGGGATAACGTCAATTTTTTTACCACGTTACTTACGTAATTTTTTTTTTCTCTTTCTTCTTTTCTCTCGCTTATCAAGATGGTTTTATGCCCAATCTGTAAACAGACCATAGCAAGAGAAGAAAAAAAAACAATGGCATGCACTGTCCCAACATGTCAAGCCATTTTCCATGGAAAATGTCTAAACGCAGACGAGAGTGAGTTTGAAGCACTGAGGGCATTACGAAAAAATTGGGAATGCCCGAAATGTGAAAAGGCACGGAAAAATATCCAACCGACAGACAAGTGTCTCAGCCCGCCAAGATCGGCGCCACAACAACAAACTGTCGACAGCACGTCACAACTGTTACTTGCTGCCATTAAAAATTTAACAGAAGAGGTCAAGGGATTAAAATTCTCCCTCGATGCCAATGCTAACGAGGTGAAAGAATTAAAAATATCTCTCGAAAAGCAAGCATCCATAACTTTTGAGAATGCGGCGAAATTAGACTCTATAGAGTCACTACTGGAGGCTCAAAATTCCAAGATTGACGGACTGGTCTTGGAAAACACGACTCTCAAGTCTCGGGTCTCGGAGCTCGAAATCAGGCTCAATAAAAGTGAGCAACTGCACCTTTCCAGGTCAATAGAAATAAGAGGAGTCCCAGTGAGATCTGGAGAGACCCCGATGGGCCTGGTTATGAGCGTGGGGGCGGGCCTGGGCCTTAGTCTAAAGGTGGAGGACATTGACTATGCAGAACGGATAAGAAACAGGCAAGACGATACACCTGGGCCGCTTGTGGTAAGGTTCGTCCGGCAGTCGCTTAGGGATGAGTTGATCCAGAGGCGAAAAGTCATTAGGGATTTTTCAACACGTCACCTCGGATGGCAAGAAAATGACGCCCACAAGATCTACCTGAGCGAAGCTATGTCCGTAACCAACAGACACCTGTACTGGCTGGCCCGGCAAAAGAGGTCTGCAGGAAAAATCAGGTACAGTTGGTTTAGCGCAGGCAAGGTGAAATGTCGACGAGACGATGGACAGCAGGTCGTCGTCATCAACTCACCATCAGATTTAGAAACGTTTGCTTGACATGCATATACATGTTACAACACTTTGAACAATTTTGTTTTTACTTTTTTATATCCCCAGTTTTATGTTTTTGTTGCGTTTGTTTTAATAATAGACTATGATAATAATTTCATTTTTGTTTATGAGAATATTTTAGGTCTGATCTGTCCAGAAACTCTAATTTGTGTATTTTTTTTCTTTTGCACAATAGGAATATGCTTTTCGTTAACTAAATTTTATATTTTTTGTTTACCATCCTTATTAATATCTAGGAGATCTTGCACACAATTGGCTCTAGCTGCTGTAGAAATATTCCTATCCTTAACTCCTTCTGTCCGTTTACCAAGCCACCCCTCCTTCTTCCATGACTAATATCCTTCTAACCTGCCACGTCAACGCTCAGTCACTCTTAGCCCATTTTGATGAATTTTACGACTTTTTTCTCCATAACTTCTACCATTTAATTGCCGTATCCGAAACCTGGTTGAAACCCACAATCCCGTCCTCCCAGATCCTTCTACCTAACTATACTCTCCTTCGTCATGACAGAGTAGATCGCACGGGTGGTGGAGTAGGTCTCTTTGTCCATGACAGTCTCAAATCCAAAATTCTTCACTGCTCTTCCATAACCGATTCTCCGCACGTTGAATACCTTTTCGCCGAAATCCTCACCACCTCATCTGCCATTCTGTTTGCTGTCATATATCGCCCTCCTAGAATTCCTTTCGATGAATCACTTGAGACTTTATTGTACAACTTAATCCCTTCCTACTCAAACATCATCCTCTCCGGTGACTTTAACACCAATTTACTGGCACCATCCTCTGATTATTCCTACCTAACAAACCTCTTTAATTCTCTCAGCCTTTACATAGTACCCTACAATCCAACCCATCATACTCAGTATTCAGAGTCCTGGCTCGATCTAATTATCCTGGATTCCTCAGACAAACTCCTTGCCGCATCTCAGCACCCGGTTCCGTTTCTATCTTCCCACGATCTTGTCCAGATCTCTTACAATGTCCCTGTTCCATCCTTTTCTCCCCGAACAATATCCTTCCGAAACCTAGATTATCTCACTCACGAAACATTGTCAGAAGGTCTTGACGATATCCAGTGGGATCCCATCTACTCCTCAAAATCCATAGACACCATGGTAGAAATCCTAACCACTCAACTTCACTCTATCCTCGACCGACATGCTCCTCTTATCACAAAAACCATCCGATATCCTCCAGCTCCTTGGCTTACCCCTGCTTTGAGGGAGTGTATGAGAGAAAGAGATGCTGCAAGGCGACGGTTTAAACGAACTCGACTTCCTGATGATTTTCTCTCCTACAAACAGCTTCGAAATAGCACTCAATCAGCAGTACGCCGCGCTAAATCCCGTTACTACCATCATTCCCTATCCAACTCGCCCAATACCAAGGCTACGTGGGCTATTCTTAGAAAACTGACCATTGGTAATACACCCCAGTCTCAGTCCAATTCCGTTTCTGCTGATAACCTCAACGCTCACTTTGTCTCCTGTCCTCTTGCATCCACATCTCCCACGTCCAGTCTGGCTCCTATGTTCTCTTCCTTTAATCCTGATCACTTCTTTCTTTCCCATATTACACCAGATGAGCTCCTTAAATCCATTCAGAAGTCCCATACCAATGATTACGGTCCCGACAACATCCCAGTCAGACTGATTAAAGCCGCATTGCCATCCATTCTTCCGATCCTTTATCATATATACAATTATTCTCTTCAAAATGCTACCTTCCCTACATCCTGGAAAACCGCCCTAGTACGCCCATTGAAGAAGACTTCAAACCCATCAGTTCCTAATGATTTCCGACCGATTTCCCTCCTTTCAAACCTCTCAAAACCACTAGAGCGGTTAGTCCAATCCCAGCTATCCCATTTTTTAGAGGACAATAATCTCCTAAATCCCTACCAGTCTGGATTCAGGCCTGGTTATTCTACTCAGTCTGCCCTAATCAAAATTTCCCAAGACCTTCACACAGCCATAGATCAGCAGAAACTAACCATCCTTATTCTCCTAGACTTCTCCAAAGCTTTTGATTCAGTAGACCACAACATCCTCCTAACCAAACTTAAAAATATCTCTTTTTCTTCTAGTTCCCTTAATTGGTTCCAATCCTTCCTAACCGGTCGCTCCCAGTACGTTGTAATTCCTAATAACCCACCATCAGAATCTCTACCTCTGACCAGAGGCGTCCCACAAGGCTCTTCCTTATCCCCCACCCTTTTCTCCATCTATATAAATGACCTCCCATCCTCTATCCTGCACTGTCATTACCACCTGTATGCCGACGACATTCAAATTTACCTCTCCTTTAATCCGACAGATATCTCAGATGCCACTCAAAAACTTCAGGAAGATATTGACAGAATAAGTGCTTGGGCAAACCTCAATAGGCTCACTCTGAACGCCGAGAAGACAAAAGCCATCTTGATCGGATCCCCTTCACTCCTCAAATCCTCCCCAGTATCTCCCAATCTCTTCCTGAACAACTCACCTATCTTATTCTACACCACCGTTAAAAACCTAGGTGTTACTTTCGATCAATCCCTATCCTGGAAACCTCACATCTCCCAAATTTCCCGTCGCACTATCTCCACCCTAAAACAGTTCAATCGTCTACGATATCTCCTTCCATATAAGTCCCGTCAACTCCTAGTTTCCTCCCTTGTTTTCCCCCACTTCGACTACGGCTGTATGGTGTACGGTGGACTCCCGGGAGATTCCGAGGCCAAACTTAAACGCCTAATGAATTGCGCACTACGATTTGTTTTCGGAATCTCAAGGGATACGCATATTACCCAGTATTACACTGAGTTGAGGTGGCTCTACCCATCCTATCGCCGTCAGTACTTCCTAGCCACCTTTCTGTACCAAATTATTAGAACCCATCGACCCTCCTACATTTTTCACAGCTTACAATTCAAATATTCCATCCAATCCCGTCCCACCAGATCTCGTACTTCCGACCTCTATCCTCCTCCTCACCGAACTGCTGCGTTTGACAAATCCTTTGCAATACAAGCCGCCTCCCTCTGGAATTCCATCCCACCTGATATTCGACACGCTCAATCAGTTTCCTCGTTTAAACCACTCCTCTTTAAGCACCTACTCCTTTCTCAATCCGAATGAATGTGAAATATATCTCAGAGAAATATCTGAGCACCACCAGAGAGTACCTCAATTTATTAAGGTTATTTTAGTTTCTCATACATATGTACAATTTACTTGTTCTTTTTTTTCTCTTTTCTGTATTTTTATCGTAAGTCAACTTTCATTGTAAATATACAATTCAATTGTAGCCACACAGACATATAATCTGTATTCATATTTTGTTCTTAAGGGACAACAGTCCCAGAATAATAAAACATTTTTTTCATTTCATTTCATTTTCATTATAATTACTCATTTTAGTATTGTTCTTAGCTATGTTAGTATGATTATTCGTAATCTATTTGTCCTTACGTCTAGGGCAGTATTTATTATGGTGTATGGTTATTTTTATTCTTATTGTTTTTACTTATTCTAGGGTAGTATTATTAATGTTCTTACGTCTATGATAGTATGGTTATTTTTATTCTCATTGTTCTTACTTGTAGTAGTATGAGTATCCTTATTATTGTTCTAGCCTATGGTAGTATGATTATTCTTAATATTGTTGTTCTTACATCTATCATAGGATATCCGATCATAGTATGATTATTCTTATTGTTATTGTTGTTACATATGTTAGTATGATCATTCATATTGTTATTGATCTTATGGTAGCCTTTGGATGTGTACTGATGGGTGACCTTAGTGTCAGCGTTTATGTTATGTTGTAGTGTGATGAGTGTATGTTTGTGGGTGGTGTACTGTGCTTAGGAACCCGGAGGTTTGCAAGACCCCAGCAACTGCACCCATCAGCTGCCCCTGCGGGGCGATATTAGTATTGTTATTATTATTATATTTACCAATGGTAATATGATTGATATTGCTGTTATTTTGCTTACGAATAGCAGTATGATTATTATTTTTATATTTGAATATTTGATAGTTAGCCTTTGCATTATTTAGGAAGGAGATGGTCCGGCGTGGCGGTCATAAATACACTAAACAGTGGTCAAACTATTTTATTAAAAACCAACGTTTCGACCCGACTTTGCTGGTCTTCTTCAGGGAGGTGTGTTCAGCTAGGAGTTTCGCTCAGAACTGAAACGGGTCGAAATGTTGGCTTTTAATAAAATAGTTTTACCATCATTTAGTCGCCACGCCGGACTATATCCTTTCTTTATTATTATTTTTGTTGCCGATGGTATTATTATTTTTCTCTTTTATGTCCGAAATGTCGTGTTTGCAGCTATCAATATATTTTGTTCTATAGGTAAGTATTTGGAAAATCTGTTCTTTACAGGGTTTTTTCAGCATCCATATGTCTTCTCTCAACAGCACCAACCCATAGCTATAAATGAAATAGCTAGAGATAAAAAATTAATAAACAATTCAATTAAACCTCATCTATAATAACTAAGTTAAATATATGCATATTGGTGTATATATTAGGTGGGAAATAAAAACAGGAACAGTGAAATTTAAAAAAATGTTTACGGCCTTCATTTGTACTGCCTTAATTTTACTCCGGTCTCAAATGATAAACCTATGATAAATAGTTTGTTACGTGTTGTTTTATTATCTGAAGTATAGTTGGTAACAGTTAGAAATATGATCAACTTATTGTCAAATATTAACTTGTAAAAAAGTTATTAATTAAAAAAAAATGTTATTAATTTAAAAATTATACTCATCTGTAAGAAATATAATTAATCGAAATGTGTATAATATATGCCTACTTATGCACAACAATGAAATATGCAAAAATATTCTACAAATAAATATTTTCCAAAAGATAGGATTGACAAATAAACATACGAAACAAGTAATCAATGATTTCGAGCAATATTTTCGAGAGTTGTATTTTATATATGTCCCTTCCTTATATATGTCAATTTATACTGTCCGTATAAATTTACGATCCAAAGTTTCGGACTCTTTGTCCACCTTCAGAGACATTACTATTTACATATTAATGTTTTCCTTCATTCCCTGCATGTTATCAAAATTTGTCTTTTTCAATTATATTTATATCAGTTTTTTCTACACTTAGTAAGTTTTTCATTATCGCATACTATGACAATTGAAGAAAAAAAACTGGTAAATAGAATAGAAAAAGAAAAATGTTGATAACGTGCAGGTGATGAAGGAAAAACATTAATAAGTGAATAGTAATGTCTCTGAAGATGTACAAAGAGTCCGAAACGTTGGAGAGAGTAAATTGACACATATACGGAAAAGAAAAGTTTCATGGTTATTCCTAAAATAACACAAAAACTCTTCCTTAAATAAATTATAAAGATAAAAGAATATAAGAGCATATTTTTGTAATTTTATTTATCGAGTGATTCTCTCACTTGGACAATGCTTATAGTGAGGTAAGACATCATTCATACTTTATAAACAGAAAAAATAAAATATACAGAAACAAAATAGCAACTAAATAATATATATATATATATATATATATATATATATATATATATATATATATATATATATATAAATTTCGGTGGGCTTTACAGACCCTGTACATCTTTGGCCGCCTGAACCAGCCTTCTCCACCTCTGCTTTCCAGTTTGCGGCATGAAGCTCAGCCGTATCTTTGTTTATCCTATCTATCCATCTGGTTTTTGGCCTTCCACGTGGTCTCTTGCCTGCTACTCATACGCTTGCATTCATTGTCGTGTAAAGGCGTCCTGATGGATTGCTGCGAGCTTCATTCTCTGCCCATCTTAACCTCCTTGCCTTCATGTCATGAGCTATTGACTGACCCGTTTCTTTCAGCAATTCTTTATTGCTCCTTCTCCTCCATGTGTCAAGGTTCTGGTCCCATATAGGTCCTGCTATCCTACGTAGAACTTTTCTTTCGAATCTCTCAATCCTGGCTTTTAGTGTGCCGGTTATTAGAGCCCACGTTTCACGATGGTACAGCAGAACTGGATTAATCACGTCGGTGTTCAGTCTCACTTTGAGATTTCTGGAGATTTTTCTGGATTTCAGTACCTTTGCTGTATATTCACTGGTCTACCTTTGATATATATATATATATATATATATATATATATATATATATATATATATAATCAATAAAAATAAAATAAGAAAATTATAAAATATGACATAAAAAAAATTACATGAAACAAAAAATAAAAATACAGATATGTACACCTGTTTATAAGATAAGGAAAACGAAAAGTTTTTCTTTATAAACATTTTTTTTTAAATAGAGTTTTATTAATATATTTTTGTTTAAATTATAGTATAGTATTAACTTGATTTTATTTGTTTGAAGCCATTTTTTCGCGATAGTTGGGAAATGCGAAATCGGTATTGAATGGCGCTGTGCGCGGGCAATGGCTTGATATACCGTGTTAAGGGCTATCTCCTGGAATTTATACGGGAAGCCCTTCCTTTCGGGGAATATTAGATAATATTTCAAAATCTGGGCCACCTGATCCTGGCATACAATTTATATTGATTACTATATAATAGCTAGGGGTATCTATGCGTCCGTCATAATCTATTGTTATGACAGCGGCCATTTGCTACGATATGTGTCCATGTAAACTGCGTGATATTGAATGTAGGACACTAATAAAACATGAAAATTTTTCAATCTACAAATATAAATTTTATCCTCCTTTTTTTTTTTAATATAATAAGTGATAATTTAAATGTAGTCATGAATTTTTTTTTTATTCATTGATATTTACAACTGTATTATAAAAAAATACAACTAGTAAATGTCCACACAGTAATAATACAATCTCATGAAAACGCTTGTTGAGAAACGCTACCCATTGCTAGCATTCTAATAATATATTTACATAAGTAGATCACGAGGCCATCTTCTTTTCAGACGCCTCGGAGGGATCGTAATGAATAAATAATTCCTTTTATAATAAATTAATAAGACATACTTTTACTCACCTAAGTAAAAAAAAAAAATATTAAAGATGAAAATATATTTATAACTTTACATCCGTACATTGTGCTCACTTTTTTTCTAAATCGAAATTGAAAGTTCGACAAAACTAAATACATACACTTACCTACTCAAACCCATCTTGACATACGCCTCTCAGATTTACAGTCCGGCAAAAAAGACGCACTTACAAAAACTACAGTCATTTCAATCCATAATTTTGCGACTATAACAGGAGCTCCCTGAAAAATTAACAACAAAACATTAACGATTTACGGCAACCCACTATAGACCAACACATACGTACTCTATACTCTAGTTTTCATCTCAAAGTACACGGAAACACAAACAGACTAACAAACGACATGCCCATCAGGAGGAGACTAAAAAGGAGCTGGATGAGAGATCTCCTCACCTAAATCAAGGAAGTAAATAATGACCAGAAAGAGATGCTGCTGTTTGCTATCCTTCCTCATGCCTATAATTCCAATCATTATTTATACTCAGTGGTACAAACCCTTTTTTATCGAATTGTTAACATCCGCCTGAAACTTCGTAAACAGTTTCGTCTCATCGTAACTTACAACTATTTCATTTACGATAACTCTTGGAATTGGGGTGTTTTCAAGTTCTGGAGGAGAGCAAACTTTATCAATTTAATTAGGTACTAAAAACTCGCAAATACTCATTTGCTTTCTACTTGAATCGTTAGATAATTTAATCAAAAAATCGAGAAAAACGGTGCTCTGCAAAAGTATTGGGCCGTTTGTCATATATAACCTCGTTATTTTGAAAATTTGGAGGTGTAGGTCACGCCAAAAGGCTCAATATTTTTAAGGCCACTTTTTTTTACGATTTTGTGATAAAATTATCTTACGGTTTAAGTAGATAGAAAATAAGTATTTACGAGTATTCATTATCTAATTAAATTGACAAAGTTTGCTCCCCTTCAGATTGAAAACGCTGAAATTCCGAGAATTTCCGAAAATAAAATATTTTTAGGTCACGGTGAGATGAAGCAATTTACGAAGTTTCGGACGGATATTAATAATTCCATAAAAAGAGGTCTGTACCACGGACTAATAACTTACTTAGAAGAAAACACAAAACTTGGATTTCATAATTTTTTTTATAAAAATTGGCTCATTGTTTATATGAACTTTTTTCTAGCTCTTGAAGCCTTGTATAAAAATTTCCCTCTACTTATGTCTGTCCTATATATCTCGTTATTTTGAAAATTTGGCAACGCCAAACGACTCAATATTTTTAAGGCCACCTTTTTTCTGGATGTTGTGATCAAATTATCTTACGATTCAAGTAGAAAGCAAATGTGTATTTACGAGTTTTTAGTACCTAATTAAACAGATAAATTTTGGTCTCTACTAGATTGAAAACGCACCAATTCCAAGAGTTTTCCTAAATAAAACTATTTAAGAAAGTTTCAGGCTGATGTTAATAATTCGATAAAAAGGGGTCTGTACCATGGACTATTACCGCAACACATCTGCTGATTGCCTATACCATGACAGTTGCGAATACATATTTAAAGTGAAAAAAAAAATTAGATTTTTCAATAGACGTTCGAAATTGTAATTAAAATTAATAGTTTCCCTTATTTAGGAAATTAGAAAAAATATAAATTAATATCTTTCCCCTATGTTTTTTGTTGTGGTTTATTTTAAAATGTCAATGCGATCTTGGACTACATCCGTTTAAGAGGAGATGTCATTATTATAACATTTGTTCGGCTTTTGATTCCGGATAAAGGTAATTTAGGGGTTTTCGCCCGTATTGATCTTGACTACAATCCAGACTCCACCCACAGAGTGTCTTGGGATTCGGAAGTTTATGGAGTAATGAAAGTATCATTATTCACAAAGACACACTGCTGCTCCACGAAGCTTGTCCCCT